AAAAAAAAGCTATTGAAGTTGTTTTACTAAGGATTCTCCTTTACCAAATTACATGTACTATAATACAATTTATAATGAAAAAAATTTTGTTTAAAAAATAAAACACCACCTCCTTAGGAATAAAATCTCTTGTCTGGCTTACAAAGAAGCTTCATTCCTTGTCCCAACCTGTGACATTTTCTTATTGTGTTTATTAAATATTAATTTTGAGTTTATTGTATCTCCCCGAGAAACTCTTCAGCCAATAGCTTATAATATTTGACACATAGAAGGGATTTCCTGTTTTAAATATTGATAAACTAAGTCCTGAAACAAGTTAGTCACTCATTTAACTCTCTCCCAAAATAAATCCATAACATATTCAGAAATGAAAAATAGATCATTAATGTATTTCCCCTGATCTTTGATTTAAAAAAAAAAATTCAAGTTCTGGCAAATTGCTGTCACAGTTTACTTATGTAATGTTGAATAAATTGAACTCGGACATGAAACAAGAATGTTAAACTTAGGATACCACACTGGGAGATTTGTCCACACTTAGCACTCAGATGAACATGTGATGAGGGGCAATCAAAGCACTTGCAAAATTTTGCAAGGTAGCTTGGTATTTTGCCTTTGCTGGTGAGAAACTAAGGCTGGGAGAGTTAAGCTAACTTACCCAAGGTCGCAGGGCTACTAAGTGACAAAACAGAGATTGATTCCCACAAATAACTGACTACAAGAATCTTGGACTCTTCCCCCTCCTGTTATGATCACTGTGAAAATCAAACAAGGGAGAAAAAAAAACCAACAACAAAATGTAGGCTGGAAATGGGGGCATGGCTGGTCTCTGAGGCTTCAGGGTCACCTACTCTTTTTTTTTTAATTATATTTATTTTTTACATCATTTTTCATTTTTGTACAAAGTATGCATTTTCATCTTGGTTATATTTCCCATACAATTCCCAACCCCCCTATTTTGACCCTAATCCCTCCCCCCTACCCCACCCCCTCTGCAGCGTGTCTCTGGTTTATAGTTGCTTGTTGACTTTGATTTTTACTTTATTATAATTATTTTTTTTCCTCATCCCTTATTTAGGTTTTCTAAATTCCTGCTATGAGTGAGACCATCCAGTATTTTTCTTTTTCTTTCTGGCTTATTTCGCTGAGCATGATCCCTTCCAACTTCACCCATATTGCTGCAAATTGCATGAGTTTATCTTTTTTGATTGCTGAGTAATATCCCTGCACCCCTATGTTTATTGCAGCACTATTTACAATAGTTTAGCTATGGAAACAAACCAAATGCCCAAAAATAGATGACTGGATCAAGAAGATGTGGTACATATACAAGGCCACCTACTCTTCCTATGCCTCCCCCCAAAAGAACAGAGAATGGCAACTATAAAGCTCTGAGAAAAAAAACAAACAAGACACTAGCCATAACCCATTACAATTTTCTTTTAAAAAAATATTAAAATCTTTTGTTGTAGGGAAATTCTGATCAATGATATGATGCTTCAAATAAATGGGCCACTGGCTAGTCTTGGAAATATTTGTGACATGAAGGTTGTTTGTTAATTGGCATGTACAGATACATTATTCTTATTTAATAACAATAAATTACTGACAAAATTGGTAAATTTTAATTACATTTTTGGGAAAGCAGGTATTTATAGAAAATTATGCCCCAAGTGTACATTCTGCTCACCATTAGATCTATTTCAGTTCCAAAGGAACATTTCCAAGGAAGAATTCTTTCTAGATTTTTAAAAGATGTGAGGCTTTTGGGTGGGGGTGCCTTGGTGTTAGTTTAGTAGTAAATGAGAGGTACTTTGGAGTAGAGGGAAGTCATGTTCAGTGAATCATCATTTCCAATCCTACTCTTTACTGCTCCTTCTTAAGTTTCTTAGCCTCTGGATGCCTTTCTCCTCTGCTCCCCATGGGTGTGGAAGTTACAGTTCAACACTATGCACCTGGGAAATGACCTGATTTCACTAGTTATAATATTTTTAATGGGTATTTATTTGAATTGGTAATATATTCACATGGTTTAAAACATAAAAGATATAAATGGGGATTCAATGTTGTCTCCCTCCTACAAGCTCCTCTCCAGGTGTCCTTGATGTAGTCCCGTTTTATTTTGCAAACTTGCTGTGAAGGGCAAATAAAACAAGATGAGTAGATAAAATATGAAAGGGATTGTTCTATGGTGATAATATTCAAGGTGATTGTCCCTTTCATAGCCTTCTCCATGTTTTCTGAGACTTCCAGCACCAGTACTCAACTAAACTACCAAATAGTCATAGTGCCTTTTCAAGACATTTTTACTTTGAACTTAATTAATGCCCAAAGGAAAATTTTTCAGCCATTTGTCTAGAATTTGATTGATAATTGATTTTCCTTTGTCATATTTATATTTTCATTTAGAATTTTGCTTTTTCTGATGTTGCAATAGAAGGAAAATTAGGAAAAATTTTGTCTTGGGCTGTTTTGAAATTTTTCTACTTTAGTTCTGGACAAAGTGCACAGAAATAAAAATTTAACAAAATATCTTCAATTTCTCTTAAGCCAATTCAATAGTTTTAATCTGATTAAGAGTGCTTTCCTCTGCATTTGTTAATCAGAAAAGGGTGGACTGAGCAAATGAGCAGTGTAATGGAGACAGCAAGGGAGACAATTAAGACGTATTAGTCTAGTCTCCTGCCTGGCACTCAATAGGTGTATAGTCATCGCTGTATAAAAGTTTAATTTATTGGGCCTCCCTGGTGGCGCAGCGGTTGAGCGCTGGGTTGCGAAGCTGCCCGCGATCTCTGCGGTGCCGGTTCGATCCCCGGCTGCTCCCCGGCCACCGGAGGAGGGTCCCACATGGTGCGCAGACCTCTCCTGCCGCCCGCTGCTCCCCTCAGCAGTGTACTTCGGCCCTTCTGCCTGTTCTGCTCCCCACTCTGGCTCTGGTGAATTCTGTCACCCTCCCGCGCTTCTGACTGTACCCAGTGCATGTATAAACAAACAAACAAATAAATAAATAAAACATGCCTCTATACCTATTAAAAAAAAAAAAAGTTTAATTTATTAAAGCATGTTTAAAGGGCCTCCCTGGTGGCACAAGGGGTTAAGTCTCAGCACTATCCAGCTATCCCCAGCCACTGCAGCATAAGTTCCATCTCTGACCAGGGAGGTGGCCCACATGGCACAGCAGACCTCTCCTGTCTCACCTGCTGCTCCCCCCAGCAGTGTGTTTCAGTCAGTCTGCCTGTTCTGCTCCCCACTCAGTCTCTGGTGTATCCTCTCACCCCCAACACCTCTGGCCTACATCCCAGCTCTTGTATGCATAAAAAATGATAATTTTTCAAAAAGAAAGCATTTTAAGGCACTGCCATGATCACCAAACATTTCTGGCAAATCTTTCGATTGAAAAATCTAATTTTTTGAAAGCTCTAATTTAACCGCAAATTTAAGTTAATTGCAAATTTAAAATCACTTTTAAAAAGCATCCCATAGGACTTTTTTTTAATGACAACTTTGGATAAATCTAAAATAAGGTATGTTATTTAGCAAGAATTACTCCCCTTCTCCCAGCATTTGACACCAGAGATTTATTGTAGTAATAGTGCGAGTAGTGATCAAAATCTAACTCAATTCATTTAGGAAAGTAACATAATTACAACCATATCCTCCCTGTCGAGAAAGAGCATAGACTATTCAACACGGGCCACACAGTACGATCACGGCATGCAGTGTAGCCTTGGAGATAGCTGCGTTTGTATATTTCCGGATAAGATTTAATTCCCGTTCTATCAATAGAATTATTTAGTTAATTAATGCAATTTATTCATTTACTCAGCCCACAGACATTTGTTATGAGCCTACCAGGGACATAATGCTGAAGATCCAGCGTCTCCCCGCATGGAACACAATCCGAGCGAAGATTTCATGATCAATAATCATGAGGGTGGTGCTTTTTCCGCGCTTTACTGCTGCGCCCCAGAGCCCTCGCCTGGGTCTGACCTCAGGCGCCGGGGGAGTCCGCGCCGGAGCTACCTCTCCCCCCCGGGCGCCGGGACAGGGCGGGGTCGACCGCGCAGTCCCCCTTGCGCCCCCCCCCCCGGCCCCGACCCCCCGCGCTCCCTCCCTCTCCGGCTTTAATTTCGGGGCTCCGACCACCGGAAATTAGCCTCGGGCTGAGCGGACCAGGAGGGGCGCCGGCGGCGCGGCGTGGGGGGGCGCACCCTCCGCTGCGCCCGGCGCCCGCGGGACGCGCCGCCAGCGCCCGCTCTGCTGGGGGCTCGGCGCTCGCCCACCTCTTCCAAATTTAACCATTACCTAAATCCGAAGGGAAATGAGCAAACCTCTCGGATTGGGTGTCAAGGTATTTTCAGCCTCGTTGGGCGTATTTATCCCCAAGTGTTTCCACAACAAGCTATTTCGGGGCCGCGGGACAGGTTTCGCTCTGCGGACGTTGTGGCCACTCGCCGGGCTCCAGGCCGGCGGCACCGCGGGCCGGTGATTCACGGCCCTGACCGGGGGCGGCGCAGTCCGAGCAGGCGGCGGGGTTGAGGGGTGTCCCGGGACCGGGGGACTGGGAGGCACCCCGGGAAGTGGACGCTCCCACTCTGTGGCGCTCCAGTCAATCTGTGTCCTGAATCTGTGACTTCTTCTCGCGGCGGAAGTCTCCCAGGAGCCAAGAATAGTTCATTTTCTTTCGAGTCATTTCTAGTGCATGGTTGTCTGGGCCTCCGGGGCCCCCTATCCTTCACCATCCCCAGAGAAAAATTGGGAAGAGCCACCCGGGGGTGCAGCTGGAAAGGCCAGGTTACCGGTGTCACCCCTACTTATCCTTGCGCAAAAGAGGAGCGCGCCCCGAGGTCCGACTGGGGGTGGGGGGGTGGAGTAGGTCTGAGAGGTCTAAGCAAGCTACTCCTCAACGCTCAGGAAGTGAAGCTGTGGTTTTGGGGGCTGAACTCGGCAAAAGATTAAAAAAAAAAAAAAGTCAGACAAGCGCGGTCTCTACTGAGAGCAGCTCAGTTTGAGAACTCTCCGAGCGCTGTGCCCGCGTCCTGACCCCGCAGGTAGGTCCCGGGCGCCTGTTCTGCTGCTCCCTCCCAATCCGGGGCGGCCACGGAGGCTGACCGGGCACCGGCTGCGCGGGGGCGACCTGAGGGTGCTCATGGGCTGGGGCCGCCGCAGGCCGCCGAGCAATTGCCAGGAGAGCTCTGGCGGTTGGGTCCTGGAGCGACCCGCACAGTTGAGCTGGGAATCAGGTGCGGGGGGAGCGCGTCGGGCCCTTGGGTGGTTCTGCGGGGGAGCGGGAGCCACTCGGGATGGAAACATCTGCTGGGGAGACGGCGGCAGCTGGGCTCAAGAAGTTGCCCCTCTGCGCCTTCAGCTCCAGCCTTCCCAGGCCTTGACGGCGATGAGGCCCCGGCGACCCGGGTGCACCCAGGGGGCCGCCCCCCCTCCCCGGGCCACCAGCTGCTGCACTAGGCCACCTTCCCACGCGCTCAGCCCTTAGCCCTCAGCCCTCCCACCCCGTATCCACTCCACCCTTCCAGAAACCGGCAGAGCAAGCCAGAGATGCGCGGGGCGGCGGCAGGGTGAGCCCTGAGCCTCGGCGCGCGCCGCGTCCCGCGTGGTAGCTGCCGGCGGAGACCCCGCGCGGCGCTGGGGCCTCCACTCCGTGGCCCTTCCGCGCCCGGTCCAGCTCCGCGCCAGCGCCGGCCCAGGACGCAGCGGGGCCCTCAGGACCCTTCTGTCCCGTTTTCCTAATTCTCTGAGTTTCTTAGTTTAACGAATTGGATCTTGCATTCGTGGCTTCTAATTAGCCGCTAAAAAGGCGTCTTTTCACCATGTCGCAAGGAAACTGAAGCGGCGGAAACTCGCCCCAGCGCAGCGCAGCGCTTGAAACCTGGAGCCGGGACGCGAGGGGCCGACCCGGGCTGGGGCGGGAGGTACCCGCAGCCCTAGGGACCTTCTGACGCCTAGTCCGCGGGAAATGTTGCTTGGGCCTCCGCTAAATGTCCCAGGTGTCTTTCCTCCCAAGCGTGTCCCCAAACCTCCCCCACCCCAGAAAGGGGACACAGTGGGGCGTGGAATATTCTCCAGGGAATGAGTCCCCGAGGACTGGTTTTGACCCGGGAGCAGCCACGGGAGGACTCAGAGCTGCCCTGCGTCCTGCAGCGGGAGCCTCTCGGCTCCGGTGTGGCGGCCACAACCACGCAAAGCCCAAGAAGAAGGGGTCCTACCCGGGTCCAGGGTCCCCAGGGCCCTTGTTTCTGAACTAGCCCAACGGGCCCCAGGAACTTGCAGCTGCCGTGTGGACGCGGCCCACGGTGCCTGCGCTCTAAGGATATAGATTGGTTTTCCCTGGACCTTCCAGCCCGCCTGTGCCCGCCCCCAGGCTGGCCCGCGGCGGAGCTGGAGGCACTGTCCCGCCTCCCCGCCGGGCTCAGGTTTCGACTTCGGGATTAGGTGAACTGATTGGGGGTTAATGAGAGCGGCGCAGCGGGCAGCTAGCTCGCGTCCAGACCCGCGCCGGACCCTGACTCCGGCCTCGGCGGATTCTTCGCCGACTGCCCAACACCGCGCGCGTCTTCGTTTGAGCGCGCAGATCCAGCTCAGCTTCCCCAGGAGCAGGTTTTTGGTGAGCGTAACAGAAAGAGCTTTTCCCTGGGACTTGATTTTTGACATTAGGTCTTAAAGGTCTGGGGTGTCTGCCCCGACCCTGCTTGCTCACGCCGCACCCACGTCTTGGGGCCAACTTTTGCGTCGAGCAGGGCCCGAGTGAGGGACGAGCAAGGTCACCGGGAGGCGAGTTTTCCCGGGGACCCGGGTCGGTCTGCTGCCACCACCACCACCCCTCTTCCTGTCCCTCGCTTGCTGCCCTCCGGACCGCGCCCCTTATCCTACCCAGCGCTTCCCGCCCCCGCTGGCACCCCCTTCAGTCTGCAACTGACTCTTTGAGGTCTTGACTCCTGGCCTCTTCCCGGTCCTCGCCCACCTACACACTCCCCAGCTCCAAACGGATCCGCGCGCCCGGGTGCACCTCCCCGGGCGCAAGCACAGCCACACGGGCTGTGCGCGGTCCAGAGAGGGTAATTTGGCCGTTGAGAACTTAGGCATTTCGCAGGGTTTGCTTATCTGAACGAGTTTTGCTGTGGAAGGGGAGGGTCCAGAGCTGTGGGCAGGGCAGAAGGAAGAAGTCTGAGCCCCGGGTCGGGACGAGTTTTACTCTGAGCTTTGGTGGCGACGGCGGCTCGCGCCACCTGCCCGAGTGCCACCTGGTGAGCGCGGCGCCGAGGGCCAAGCCCCTCCTCCCAGGCCCTTCCTCGCTCCTCCCCGGCCCGGGCTCTGCTCTCCGCCCCGCTGCCCAGTCCCGGGCGCCGGAGGGTACTAACCCGCGTTTCCACCCTGTTCTCTCTCAGCTCTCCGCCCCGCCGGGACTGGGCAAAGATCCGGGGTGACAGTGGGCTGACGACGGCTCCAGGGACCCTTGGAGCAAAGTAAGGAGCGCACCGGACCACCATGCCGCGTTCGTTCCTGGTCAAGAGCAAAAAGGCTCACAGTTATCACCAGCCGCGCTCCCCGGGACCGGACTATTCCCTCCGCCTGGAGAATGTTCCGGCGCCGAGCCGAGCAGGTGCGGGGCGCGCGAAGGCCGGGCGGGGCTGCTCCCTGGGGCGCGCGCTGCGCCCCGCCATCCCCCAGGAAGCGGGAAGGGCGGCCCGACATCCCCTTTTACTGCCTTTTTATTTTGGTTTATTTCCTACCGTCCGGATTCCTTCCGGATCTACAGCCCAGGTGCCGCGGCCTCTCTCCCCCGCCCTCGGCGCCGGGAGGGCTCCTGGCCAGGTCTGGGGGCGGGGGGGAGACGTCCGGGTGCCACGGCCTGGGCACCACGTCGAAACCCAGCCTGAGCCCGCACCCTGCTCCTCTCCGCAGACAGCACCTTGAGCGCAGGCGGGGCGAAGGCGGAGTCCAGGGACCGTTCGTCCCCGGAGTCGCAGCTGACCGAGGCCCCCGACAGAGCCTCGGCCTCGCCAGGCAGCGGCGAGGGCAGCATCTGCGACCGGAGCTCGGAGTTTGAGGATTTCTGGAGGCCTCCTTCGCCTTCGGTGTCTCCAGGTAGGGGCGCTTTGGGAACTCCTGGGGCTGGGACAGCAGGGCCCCTGCTGTGAGGAGTGAGGTGGCGCAGCTGTGGGCGCAGAAATGCTAACCGGGTGACGGAGAATCTTTCCGAGAGGCGGGAGTTAGCGAGAGGAAGGGGCCCCGCGGGTCGGCGTCGGGCCTCTCCGGACCGGGGCGCGCGCTCGCGGAGCTCGCGGCCTGGACCCCGGCGGCGGCTCGGCTGCTGGCACCTGGCGTTCGTTTGCGCTCTCTCGGTGGTCAGAAAAAAAGGGATCATCTTGATTGGCACCAACGTCGACATTTCGTTTTCTGACCAGAGCTTATTGTTCAGAAAGAACCTGGGTCCCAGAATCCAGATCCCGCGAATCCCAAATAAATGGGGATCTGAGTAGTCTGAGAAAAGAAGTGTCGTTGCCTGTAAAAATTAAGCTCGCTCCCCGGGCGTTGGGCCTGACAGCGAAGGGTGTCAAGTGAGAGGCGAGGCTGGGTCTTTGCAGACCCGTACTGGGGGCCCATTTCATTTTTCGTTCTGCGGGGTTGGCCCGGTCTTTGGGGCCATCCCGCCGGTTTCTTTTCCCTCCAGCAATGAGTTTTGCGCAAACTGAGTGACTGCACTGTGGGGTGAGGTCTAGTCTGGGGTTCAGGTTTGGGGAAGGAGAATGCAGACTTGTGGGACTTGGCTAAGGTCGGAATATTTCCTGGTTGCGTTTACTAGTTTTATTATTTTTTAAAAGATTCTTCTATCTGTGCACACAAGAGCTGGGGCACAGACCAGAGATGGGGGGGGGGTAGGGGGGGCGGGTTGTGTGAGGATTCACCAGAGACAGAGTGGGGTACAGAACAGGCAGACTGACTGAAATACACTGCTGAGGGGAGCAGCGTGCTAGACAGGAGAGGTCTGGGGCGCCATGTGGATAGCACCTTGTGAGTTGCTCCCTGGCCGGAGGGGGATCCAATTTGTGCTGCAAAGGCTGCGAATTGCTCCATAGTGCAGCACTTAACCCCTAGTGCCACCAGGGAGGCCCTGCAGTTACTATCTTTAAAAGATACCCACAGCTCTGTCCCAAACTCAGAGCACTGACTTGGCCAAATCTTAGCTCCAGCGAGTGTGTTAGGGTGCCCCGGACTGGAGGGTTCTTAACTGTGCAGTGCAAGGACTGGGCTCCACCTGTTATGTCTCCGTCAGAATTCAGGTGCCGCCTCTCAGTGAAGAAGACTGACATGTGTGTGTACATGTACAGATTTGTAAATCTGTATGCACTGAAAGTATGTTGCATATCTGATTTTGGCAAAATTTATGTGGATGGGGATGCAGAAGGCCAACTGAATTCGGAGATCTATTATCCTTGCAAGTAGTGGCTAGCTTTTAACAGTATGATCTCTTAAGAAATTCGGATTCCGGGCCTCCCCAGTGGCGCAGCGGTGGAGCACTGGGTTGCAAAGCTGCCCACAGCCACTGCAGCACCGGTTTGATCCCCGGCCGCAGGGCGAGGGTCCCACATGGCGCGCAGACCTCTCCTGCCGCCCGCTGCTCCCCTCAGCAGTGTGCTTCGGTCCTTCTGCCTGCTCTGCTCCCCGCTCTGGCTCTGGTGAATTCTCTCACCCTCCCGCGCTTCTGACTGTACCTCGTGCTTGTATAAATAAATAAATAAATAAATAAATATCTTTAAAAAGAAAGAAAGAAAGAAATTCGGATTCCCACCCAATGGGGAATATTTGGCAGGTAGTTTCAAGCCCCAAGCTCCCTGCTCTCTGCCCTTTCTTTGCCTGCAAAAGGATACTTAATACCTTTGAAGAATGCTAATGTCTTTGGGGGTTTTTCCCCCCGGACAAACACGTCTTGGGTTGGCTGAGCCGCCCTTTATCGTTCCTCTCCCTCCTCCTTATCGATTCCACGAAAGAGAAAAGACCAGAGGGAACTTGCAGGGGCGGAGATAGAGCCGGCGATCTCTACCCACGATCGCTGTCCAGGGCCCAAATGGTCGTGGTCTCCTCGTCCCGCACAGTTCGGCTAAGAACATTATTAACCAGACCAGACCGGGTGGCGCGCCTTTCTCTAGGGGACCGCCTGGTGCTCCCGTGCACCAGAAAAGAGCCCCTTCACGCCGTGCGCTGCTGCTGCTGCCCTGTCACTCACATAACTTACTGTTCTCTTCACCCGGGTCATGTTAACCGCTTGCTGCCTTAGCTGCCTTCGAGATCCCCGAGGTCTCAGGAACCAGCCCCCCCGTTTTATTCTTGGGGCTCTCTGGCCCCTGAGGCAGCGCCCAGCGCAGGGGGTGCGCAACCAGCAGTGTGCAGCGGGCAGTCGGCAAACCCGGTGCCTGGCAGCAGCGGACGCATGCGAGTGGCACGTGCCACCCGGTGCCTCAGGCGCTGACCGCACGCCCTCTTGTGCCTGCACAGCCTCGGAGAAGTCGGTGTGCCCGTCGCTGGACGAAGCCCAGCCCTTCCCCCTGTCCTTCAAGCCGTACTCCTGGAGCAGCCTGGCGAGCTCTGACCTGCGGCACCTGGTGCAGAGCTACCGGCCGTGCGCGGCCCTGGAGCGCGGCGCGGGCTGGGCCTCTTCTGCGAGCGCACCCCGGAGCCCGGCCACCCCGCCGCCCTGTACGGGCCCGAGCGGGCTGTGGGCGGCGCGGGGGCCGGGCGCCCGGGGGCGGCAGCGCGGGCGGCGGCGCCGCGGGCGGCTCGGGCCTGGGCTCTACGGCGACTTCGGGCCCGCGGCCGCGGGGCTGTACGAGCGGCCGGCGGCGGCGGCCGGCGGGCTCTACCCGGAGCGCGGCCACGCGCTCCACGCGGACAAGGGCGCCGGCGTCAAGGTGGAGTCGGAGCTGCTGTGCACCCGCCTGCTGCTGGGCGGCGGCTCCTACAAGTGCATCAAATGCAGCAAGGTGAGGCTCCCGCGCCCAGCCCCGCCGAGGCCTCGCGCGCCCCGCCCCGCCCCGCCCCGCCGCGCTCTCAGCCGCGCCCTCCCGGCCCCCCCCGCCGCAGGTGTTCTCCACGCCGCACGGGCTCGAGGTGCACGTGCGCAGGTCCCACAGCGGCACCAGACCCTTCGCGTGCGAGATGTGCGGCAAGACCTTCGGGCACGCGGTGAGCCTGGAGCAGCACAAAGCCGTGCACTCGCAGGTAAGAGCGGGGCTCCCGGCCGTGCGAGGCCCTGCTCTCGGTTTCTTTTCTTTTCTTTCTTTCTTTCAATTTTTTTAAAGATTTATTTATTTGTTCATACAAGAGCTGAGGCACAGGCCAGAGGTGTGGGGGGTGAGAGGATTCACCAGACATAGCGGGGAACAAGACAGGCCGACTGACTGACTGAAATGCACTGCTGAGGGGAGCAGCGGGCGAGGCAGGAGAGGTCTGCTGCGCCCTGTGGGCTTCTCCCTGGCCGGCTGGGGGATCGAACACGAGCTGCAGAGGCTGCGGAAGCTTCACAGGTTGCATCTTAACCCCTTGCGCCACCAGGGAGGCCCTCTTTCTTTCAAGATTTATTTATACAAGACCTGGGGTACAGGCCAGAGGCCCGGGCGGGTGAGAGGATTCACCAGAGACAGAGTGGGGAACAGAACAGGCAGACTGACTGAAATACACTGCTGAGGGGAGCAGCGGGTGAGTCAGGAGAGGTCTGCTCTGCACCATGTGGGTAACTCCCAGGCTGGGGATCGAACTCGTGCTGCAGTGGCTGTGGATTGCATCATAGGTTGCTTCTTAACCACTTGCGCCACCAGGGAGGCCCTCACGTTTTCGAATTCGGGGATCTTCTGCTTCTCCGTGCAGCACCAGCCACTCTGGGACTAGCAACTTTCCCCCTGGACTTCCCAGAATTGGCCCCCGGTCTCCTCCATAAGCCCCTGCTCACCTGCAGGCGTGTTGGGGAAAGGTGGGCGGGGGCTCGCACCTCTAGGCAGCCCTGGAGTTCGGTGTCACATCATTCTGAGCTTCCAGAGGGTAATCTGGGTCATTACTTTTTGAGTCTGAGAAGAGCTTCCTATCATCTCGCTGCTGATACATCAAGATTTAGCAGTTCTGTTTCTTTGCCTCACTTCTTTTTACCAAATGGCTGTCACCCAGCTGCATCGACCCCTCCCGAGTGAAAGAGGCTCTCAGCTCATTTAGAGCATCCAGTGACTTATTTGTCCTGCTGTTATTTCCTTCATTCGTTCTATAAATATTTGTAGCCCAACTTTCCAGGTGCCAGGTACTTTAGAATTACCACCACATCAGGCCCCTGGCAAGATGCCCCCAAGGAGATTAAAAGTTAACTGAGCAACAGAGATAAACAAATAAGTACAAAGTAACCAAGACCGGAGAATGCTCACAAAGACTTATTTACTAAGAAGAGTATCCTCTCATCTCTTTCAGCAACCACACGGCCGCGGGGGAGGGGGCAGTCTGAATAGACTCAAGTCTAACTAAGCCTCCTTTTGAGGGTGGAGAAGTGTTTGTAAATGGGTGTCAAAAAATCAGGGTGGGGATACTTTTTTTTTTTGACTTGGGGTGTAGAGGGTTGTGGGTGAAATGTGTTTTGGTAGAAAAAGTGTTAAAGGGGAAGAGGATAAGGGTAGGGGGTGGAGGTTGGAAATAAACAGAGGGGATAAACAGGCAAGCTATGTGGAAGGGGGTCCTGAGAGAAGGAAATTTGGCTTTGGGGATTTTAGGATCAAGCTGGTTGGTGGTGAGGAGAGTTAACAGTCAGATGATGCAGTAGGAATGCCCCATCTTTCTCTACATAGGAACGGAGTTTTGACTGTAAGATCTGTGGCAAGAGCTTTAAAAGGTCCTCTACTCTGTCCACCCACTTGCTCATCCACTCAGACACCCGGCCCTACCCCTGTCAGTACTGTGGCAAGAGGTTCCACCAGAAGTCAGACATGAAGAAACACACCTTCATTCACACTGGTAAGCCGAACCCTCTTGATTGAAGGCAACACTGGGTGGTCTGGTGTGTGTGTGTGTATGGAGGGTGGAGAACAGCATTATTCTTACCCCCCACCCCCAGGCCAATATAACACCTTCTAGGTGATAGTTTGGTCCCAGTGTGAGTGATGAAGAAGACCTTCCAGATGGAGTTAATCACTGCAACGAGTTAAAGAAATCAAGGAAGCAGATTCACTTAGGTTCATTTACATAAAAGTTGTTGTCCCCATAGGGGCTTGATTTGGGTTGTGTCTGAAGAACCATTCAGCAGGTCAGCTGCAGTTTCTCTAGCCTTGCAAAGAATATTTTCTTTTAGTTTAGCAGCTGCCCCAACTGCTGCCTGCTCTCAGTGAAATATGAAGCTGCAGGGTCCTCTCAGAGCATTGCTCTAAATATTTACCTAGAGATTGAGGACTTTCTCTAGGGTTCCCACCCAGCCGTTTGCAGGAGGGACTATATGTGGCCTCTCTAGCTACCTGTTTAGGAGTCTGAAAGCTTATTCTGATGGAGGAGGAAAAAAATAATGATAAATATTACTAAGGTCTCTGCTAAGCACTCTTTAAATTCATCATCTCATTCTATGCTCACAAGTCTGGGTGGTAAAGATTATTCCTAATCCCCATTACAGAGATTAAGAAAATGAGGTACACAGGCTTAGGTGACCTGCCTAGGGTCACATAGCTAGCAAGGGGCAGGGTCATGTCTTCTGACCTCAAAATGTCTATGCTCTTAACCACTGTTTACTGTATTCTATTTTCAGAATCATGTGGGTTGGTAGATATAGAAAGCTTCTATTCACGTATTGTCCTTTTCAGCATATTAACAAGTCCATGCCATAGTAGTGATAACTTTTTACCTAATATAGTACTTAATAGTTTATAAAATGGTTTCAAATCTAACACTTTATTTGATCCTGAAACACTGAGAGATTGAATCCTTTACCAAAGAGCATACAGAATAAATCATGGGGCTATGGAATGCTTTTGCTTCTAATCCTAAACTCTTTCCCTAATGTTTTAACTGTATGTGTGTGGCCATTTTATTGCAGGGAGCACTCTCTAATAGTCAACGAAATTTACTCTAGACCCAGAATTCTGACTATTTCATTCCAGTATATGAGTACTGATTTAGAACAAATTGCAATGTGTTCCAAACACCCACCATTGATATTTATAAGTATGCTTGAGCAGTCAGGATGCCCTATCAGAAAATCCAGGATAATATCCTACTTTAATCATGTCCTCTTGCCTGAAATTTCCATGTAACTCGCTCCTTTTGAGTAAAGGTATTCAAGACACTAACCAAAATGCAAGTAGGATCTTGGCTGAATGAGATAGTAAGCACTTATCAAACATTTACTATAGCTGGAATTTGTTCCTCAGATTTGTTTGACCCTAAGGAGATAAGCTAAGTTTTGATGGCTGGTTCCTTATCAAGGAAATCTGAAATATAAAGACAGAAAGGGAAACAGCAAGAGAGACAGAGAGTTCATCAAAAATAAACTTCATCTATTTTACATTTTTTCCAAGTCTAAGCCCAGACCATGCTGAGGCTATTTGGAAATCCATACTATTTATCCATACTATTTGAAAAGACAAAACCTTTCCTGTTTTTTATGTATTGATCTGTGGTGAAGAATTGCTGGTACATAAAGAATCTGATACTTAACCTCATAAAAAGAAAATAAAATCAAGAAAGAAAATAGGATCATCTACATTAAGAAATTTGCATAGCCTTAAGGAAGTTTGGCTAAATGTGGATTTCTAAAAAATGAGACTTTGAGAAATGGCCATGCTTCAGATATGTTCTGTTGTCCTTCAAGAGCAGGAAAGAAGACAGTCACTGATCCATACAAACCAACACCCACTTGGAAACTCAGATTTGAAAACTTCCTCTGAATTAGAAGTCACATGGTTTGAAAGACAGCCTCCACCCCCTCACGTTGAACACCTGCTTTGGGAGCTTTCTGCTTCTAAAGTTAGGGGAGTCCTCTCAGGGTAGATTCAGCTGCAAGTCTGGGGAGGGTACATGGCCTTTGCTCTGTTTCCGTTTAGCAGGAAACGGTTTGAGGCATTGGGCTGGGAACCCCCACTCTGAAAGTCTTTCACCTGGTGCACCCATCGCTTCCCAGGACTTGTGTTGCAAAACGTCACCCTCCAAGTTGTGCAACCAGCTGGTGCCAAGAGCATGTGGGTCACAGTGAGCCCCTTTAGTGTTATCAGACTCATACTTCCTCCTCTCCCCCCTTCCATCCCTGCAGGTGAAAAACCCCACAAGTGCCAGGTGTGTGGCAAAGCATTCAGTCAGAGCTCCAACCTCATCACCCACAGCCGTAAACACACAGGCTTCAAGCCCTTTGGCTGCGATCTGTGTGGGAAGGGCTTCCAGAGGAAGGTGGACCTCAGACGGCACCGGGAGACACAGCATGGGCTCAAATGAGTGCCTTGCAGGGCCTCAAGCTGCGGCTACACAACACTACAGAGGGCATCCACCCCACTTGCACCACCCACTTCAGTCTCTCAGGTCCCCTATTTCAGTCTGCTGATCCCTCTAGGGTGACACCCTCATCTTCCTTCCTGGAACTGCCAGGGGGATAAGTTACCTTTTCGAAGTTCAACCTGAAGTGGAATCAAATGACTCACTGGGATTTGGATACATGGAATAATTTCCTGTACATCTGAAGACTAGAAGTCAAGAGGGGATCAGAAAAAATCTTCCTATTCCCCGCCTTGCTCCACAGACAGGAAAGTCCTTGAGGGTTTTTCCCTCCTCCTCCTCACCTACTCCAGGCACTTGTGTGGAAGAAGAGGAATCGCCATTTGCAAGGTAGACAGACTTATGCTAATGTTTTTATCTAGAATGAAGAATGAGTGGGGTTTTTTTTGTTTTTGTTTTTTACTTCTGGGGAGTCTGTTGACCCTTTTCTGTTGGGTGCTACCTGTAAATCTTGGAGAAATCATTTCTCCCGAGTGAAGACTGGTTCAGAAATGTCATTGGGGGGAGTTTTATACTTTTGAAAATACGTGCTACACCATTGAGCCTGCCTCAAGAAAGAGCAGAAGAAAAATGAACTTGGAGATGAGCGATCCGAGGTCTGTGAAAGCTTCTACAGAGGAGGTGGAATCAGAAGGCAATGCCTTGGATGAGCTGTCAGCCATTCCCTCAGTAGCTGTGTGATGACCATCAGCTACTATGGTCCCAAGCCCCTGTGCTAGGTACAGGGAACCCCTACACCTCCTGCCCTTCAAAAGCTGACAGTTGTACCTCCAGTGGCTGGGTCTGTTCTTTCCCTTTAAGGAAACTCTGAGAAGACAAAATGGGAATCTCTCTTGAACATTCCCTTCTCACCCATTTGGATTTTATCATGCCTGAACAAAAAATAGCTGAACAGATACTTCAAAGATTCATGTGTATATTCAGTGTTTTATTAAGCTGATATTTTTAAGATGTCTAAGTTAGCAGGCAATTGTATGAGGGAAAATGTGGCATTTTTACCATAGTGAGGTTTGTAAATGTTTTTAGATCTTTGGGAGTGCATTACGTTTGTTAATACATATTTATTAGATTGATGTTTTAAATTAATAAAGTATTAAGACTCTTCTATATTGCATTTCATTTAGACAGGGAATTTGGAAAAGACTTGGTTTTGTCTGTAAGGAGGGTGGGCACTGATGGCAACTACAGTGGAGAGCAAAAGCCATGCAGACAAACCAAGATGCAGGAAATGGTAAAATCCAATTTTTGGTTTTCATATGCTTTTTTCCCTTCTACACCCCAGAGGCCCTTTTTTAACAGAAAAACTAGATTTACAAAATTAACCCCTTGGTTTGTAGAATCCCTAATGGTCCCACATGTACATAAGCTCGTTTTCTGAGAATTTCAGATTTTTTCACAGGCCAGAAGGCTCCCAAATAAATAAAGAAATCACAGGTCTCAGGGCAAGATAGTTGGTCAAGTCACAGAATGTGTCAGTGGCAGACTTGACCAAATACTTTGAACTCCCTGATACCAGTTTCCTTGAATATAAAATGTAGATACAGTTCTATCTTTCAGTCCAACCCTGACTCCTTTGAGTCATTCTGTGGAGATTGGAGGGCAAAGAATCAAATTGGTTAGCTGCCTCACCTAAGGGAAGTTACAAAATTAAAGATGCATGGTCAGGGAGGGCAGTAAAATTGGGATCTGGGTGGTTTCTGCTTTATCCCGCCTGTAGGAATGAATTCTTGCATAAATTAGTCCTATAGGAGAATGAAACTAGAATAAGGTCCTGGCCTAAATCCCAGCTACCTGTGCTCTTCCTAATATCTGAATCAGGGCATTCCTGGCCCATGGTCACCAGCAGCAGGTCATCCATTTCTACTCAAACCACTTTCACACATTGACCGAGCACTTAGTGTGTATCTGGCACTATTTTAGGTGCTGGGGTTACCACAGTGAGTACCATGTCCTGTAGAACTTTATTTGGTCACTGTTGGAACTTCAACTTCAGAACAGGGCCTGGCACACAGTAGTAGATTATAAATATTTGCTGGGTGGTAAGTGAATAAACAGAAAATAAACTCCTGCTTCATCATGGTTAGCTCTATTCTCTACAACCCAGAGGAAAGAGCCTAAAAACAAATAGAACACAGGACTTTTCTGAGTTGGTGGGGAAGGGGAGCTTTGATGCTGCTTTTCTGCAGTATCCCTAAATCTCAGTCCTTGGCTGTCCTAACTTGGTTTACAATACCATGGTTTTTCTTTTTTTTAAATATTTATTTATTTATACAAGCACTGGGGTACAGTCAGAAGTGCGGGAGGGTGAGAGAATTCACCAGAGCCAGAGCCGGGAGCAGAGCAGGCAGAAGGACCGAAGTACACTGCTGAGGGGAGCAGCGGGCGGCAGTTGAGGTCTGCGCGCCATGTGGGACCCTCCTCAGGTGGCCGGGGAGCAGCCGGGGATCGAACCGGCGCTGCAGAGGCTGCGGGCAGCTTTGCAACCCAGTGCTCAACCGCTGCGCCACCAGGGAGGCCCACAATACCATGGTTTTTTCATGTGAATTTATTCTCATTCAAAATTTAAATTTGTTTTAAAGATTTATTTATTTATGCATACAAGAGTTGGGGTGCAGACCAGAGATGCAGGGGAGGGGGGTAAGAGGATTCACCAGAGACAGAGGGGGAACAGAACAGGCAGACTGACTGAAATACTCTGCTGGGGGGAGCAGCGGGCGAGACAGGAGAGGTCTGCTGCCCCATGTGGGTTGCTCCCTGGCTGGCCAGGGATTGAGAGGCTGCAGTTGCTTCACAGTGCAGTGCTTTAACCCCTTGTGCCACCAGGGAGGCCCTCACAATTTAAATTTTTTGTATCACAGTTTATAAGGTAATGATATGATCATTTTCCAGAACAGATGGGTTCATTAGGACCCCTTTCTAATGTCCTGGGAAAGTTCCCTGTGAATAAAGGACAAAACCTCTTTCTACAAAATTCAGTGTGCACATTGGTTGGTTATTTCCAACCTGGTTTGAAAAGTAAAGAAGTTACATGGAGGGAGCAGAACAGATTGAAATCTAGGTATCTGCTCTGCCTTGTTATTCCCTTAGGACACTTAGAACTTTTGGTTCATTTTCATATTTCCTGTGTATGTTGTAAATGAGGAGTTGTAATTTTGATATTAATAGTGCATGTTTTTAGAAAAAAAAATATCTTGATAGCTCCAGTTTAGAATCAAAACAAATTACTTAGCCTGTTACTGTGTGAAATTTGAAGATTGCAAATATCTCCTTTAATGTTATTACTTGACTCCATTAAAAATAGATTGTGAATATTCCATGTCACATTATTCATGAGATAGGCTCTATGCCTTTTGTCTGCTGGAGTAACAGTAGAAAGGGTAACAAGAGACACCAGCGCACACCTTTGTTTCTTTCACTAAATTTTTAATAACACCTCCAGCTAGCCAGTTGGTGAAGCTCAGCTCTTGCATAAAAGTGGAAAAGCACAGCTATCTCAGAAAAGACCAACCCTTTCAGCAGCTAATTTGAGTTTGCTTTCATCTACACCAGAGATGATTAAATTACCTATCGAGTGTGCTGAGCTATCAGGATTCAGGCCACGTAAAAGGTGAATTTCATCTGATTGATTTGAGATGCAAATGGAACAATTGAGTTTTAAAGGCCCCGCCTTAATTAAAGGGACAGCAAAGTATGACTCTAGGGCAGGTTCTTGATTGCCACTGCTTTGCAAATTGGGTGGCCGATAGTGATTTGGCCCAAGTCATTTTGTTATGTTTATGTGAGTTTAACTTGATCATTTAACAGAAAGGAATGAACTCAAAGGAAAGCTTAAAAGGACTTGACTCCTTTCTGGAGCATTCTATGCTTAAATCTCTGCTCCTATAGTATTTAAATAGGAAAAAATTTCCAGGAAGTACATAATACATTTATTTAAATGTTTTACTCATTAAGTAAAATGAAATTTTACCCCAAATATTTTTAGCTTAAAAGTTATTGTTCCTTTTTGTAGTGTTCCTTTCCAATGGTTACCCACATGTGGCATTTATATACATATATTTTCACCCTATGATCAGGGCGTTTACAGTTTATGTTTAGATAGCTCTTTTATTTATCTGTTATAGGGACACATACTTAATGAGAATTTTGACCATACAAAATGAGAATTTTGACCATTTGTATGCTTAAATTTGAAATCCATATTTATCAGGAACTTCTTTTCTAAAGTTTTACTTTAAAATCATTCACTCTTTAAATAAAACATTTCAAGCATATTAGAAATTACAGAAAATAATAAACACCATGTACCCATGATTCTGCCATATTTACCTTAGGTTTTATTTTTGAAATTAAATATTAAAGACATGGTTGAATATTTTCTGGAATATGTTCCTTTCTAACCCAATTCCTTTTCCTCTCTCCTCAGAAGCATCCTCTATACCAAAATTGGTCTTTATCATTGCTATGGATAATTTTATACTTTTAATTTATACATATTCCATAAACAATAGATAATACTATATAGCATATTTTAACTTAATGGAAATGATATAGTGTGTATATATATGTGTGTGTGTGTATATATATATATATATATATATATATATATATATCCTTCTGTATCTTGTATTTTTTCCTCAATACTCTGTTTCTGAGATTTAGCCATGTTGGTGCATACAGTTTCATTCACTTATATTAACTGCTGCATATAGAATTCTACTGAATGAATACTTGCCAATTATTTATATATCCTGTTGAAAAGTTTTGATTTCCAATTTTCCATACTACAAACAATTCTGAAGCAAGCTAACTTTCACATATCTCTTTGTGAAAGATAAAGGGAAAGAGATTCTTTGAGGAGTAGAAATGCTGGGCATGACCAAATTACTTTCCAAAATGCTTATACCAATTTACATTGCCACTAATGGTATAGAGAATTCCTGTTGCTCTATATCTTACCAACACTTGGTATTGTCAGACTTTAAAAATGTTTGCCAATCAGATGGATGTGAAACACTATTGTAATTTGCATTTCCTGATTCCTAGTGAGGTTGAGTATCTCTTCATAAGTTTGTTGACCTGACAGGTTTCATTTCCTGTGAAATGCCTCTTCATGTACTTTGTCCATATTTTAATTGGGTTGTTTACTTTTAATCGAGTTATTTTTAAAAATTTAATTGTAAGCACTACTACTGTGCTAGCTAATGTGTTGTACACATCTTTCAGTCTGTAGCTTGACTTTTCATTTTGGTTTTTGCTCTTTTTGTGTGTTAATGTAGTCAAAGATTTCTGTCTTTCCTTTTTTTTTTTAAAGATTTATTTATTTATTTATACAAGTACTGGGTACAGTCAGAAGTGCGGGAGGGTGAGAGAATTAACCAGAGCCAGAGCAGGGAGCAGAGCAGGCAGAAGGACCGAAGTACACTGCTGAGGGGAGCAGCGGGCGTCAGGAGAGGTCTGCGTGCCATGTGGAACCCTCCTCCGGTGGCTGGGGAGCAGCTGGGGATCGAACCGGCGCTGCAGAGGCTGCGGGCAGCTTCACAACCCAGCGCTCAACCGCTGTGCCACCGGGGAGGCCCCTGTCTTTCCTTTTTTTTAAAAATTATTTAATTATTTATTTATTTTAAGTTTTTTTTTTTTTAATAGAGGCATGTTATTTATTTATTTGTTTGTTTGTTTGTTTTGTTTATACATGCACTGGGTACAGTCAGAAACACGGAAGGGTGAGAAAATTCACCAGAGCCAGAGCAGGGAGTAGAGCAGGCAGAAGGACCAAAGTACACTGCTGAGGGGAGCAGCGGGCGGCAGGAGAGGTCTGCGCACCATGTGGGACCCTCCTCCGGTGGCCGAGGAGCAGCCGGGAATCGAACCGGCACTGCAGAAGCTGCAGGCAGCTTCGCAACCCAGAGCTCAACCGCTGCGCCACCGGGGAGGCCCTCCTTTTTGTTTTATTCTTATATCTTAATTAATAAACCCTTCCTTAATTGGTGGTTATAAGCTCGTCACCTATATTTTCTTCTAAAAACAATAAAACGTGTACTTGGAACATAAAAAAAAAGCTTTTTAATCCACTAATATATGTATGCTATGAAATAGG